GTTTGCATCCGCTCAAGTGGTCTCGTCGTTCCTTGGGAAAGGGTCTCTCTAGATTGAAAGGCACCCCACCCGGTCTGGGGGTCTTTCACTTATTCCTCCCTCATGAAAATGAGTCTTGCTGGCTTCCCTCTCCTGGCAATAAGCCTTGGCAATAAACCTTTCTTTGTTCTCTGTACGTGGATATCTGTGTGGTTCTCTGGCAAAGTCTATTAATCTTAATTTTGCTAACACATACTGTTAGGAAAAAGAAGATATGGAAATATTGCCTCCATTACCTTAATACAACTAGATACTTAAATAAATAAATTAAATTAAATCTTAAATAATAAATTATTATTTAAGATTGAATATTATTATTTAAAATTATTATTATTTAAGATTATTTTGTGCTGTGCCCACATTTGAATTTGTATTTGGTCTCACAACATCGCAGGGGAAAACCAGGATTTCCAGAAAGTACTTCCTCTCACCTGGCTCAGCTGGTAGAGTTAGGTCCTCAGCCAGCCCACAGAAAGCTAAGACATTAGATCTAACTCTGGGTAACAACTCTAAACGTCTGCTTCCACTAGTGTAGCGCAAAGCATAGTGGGAAATGTAGTCTTCCCCAGGCACAGACCCATTGGCAGGGCTCTTTCAGGCTCCTCCCATGCATGCGTCTCCCCGCCCACTCACGGTGTTTTCTGCTCAGGAATTCCGGTTTCTGGCGCTGAGCCAAGCTCCTGGGAAGTTTCTGGAGTGAAGTTCAGTGTTCTGAATGCCGGAGCCGGGGTGGCAAGAGGCCCTGCCGTGCCTGGCGAACCTGGGGACCTGAAATGTGAGTGGATGGCAGGCAGGCAGGAAAACGGGCTGCAGGCGGCAGCTGGAGCCGGGCGGGTAGCCTGGAGGCTCCACGCACTGCCGGGTCCCTCCGGTCTGGGTGACTGTGCCTGGGGTCGTGATTGCTTTGTCAGAGTCGGTTCTGCCAGAGTCAGTGTCCTTCCAGGTGCCGGAACCTAGCTGGCTCAGGAAGGCTCGCGGGCAGGCTAGAAGGTTGTCCAGACTAGGAGAGCTGGGGAGGCCTGCGCTTCTGTTCCACGCCTGATTCTGCTGTGAGCCAGTGTGATGACATCATTTGTCCACTGAACGATGGACGAGTCACAATTCTAGTGAGGTTGTGAAGGGTGTGCTGGCCGAGTCATGTGCTATGGCAGTTGTGTTGGTGGGGTTCTGTGTTGTTTCTTGTGGGGACATTTCTAGTCCCCTTCTGGGCGCTGTAGCCTCTTAGCACTCCTGGCTCCAGTTCACACATGTTTGTACACGACTGGCTGATGGACCTGTATTCCTTGGAATTAAGTAAGCGTGGCAGATTCGAAGGAGGGCAGATTCTGAACAGGAGTGTGCATCCTGAAAGAACACTGTCCTTGTGAACTGTCACTAGCCCTAAAGAGCAGAGGCAGAGAAGCACTAGAACGGGAAGATCTGGTTAGCCTCCCTTTCCCTAGCAATGATTGATTCGACTTTCCAGAGCACAAGATTCACCTGGTACAACTTTCTCCAAAGCTTCCAAGCACTCTCCAATGTTGAGAGAAGTGAGCTAGACTGAGGAATGAACCAGAGCTGACTTATCAGAGGGTTAGGAGCTGTGGTTTATAGTACAGAGATATGTTCTCACACCTGGAAGATCTGCCTCTACAAGAAAGCTAATCCCCTTCTCTTTCACTCAGTCTAACCTCACTGTCTGTCATTTCTAGAATGCAAGCTCTCTCAAACTTAAACTATTATTAAATGCGGCATCTAGTGGTACTAGTTCTTTCTTTTACCTGATGCTTTTTCTGGCAATTCAGGAAATGTGTGCTAGGCACCTTATGCTTTAAAACAAACATAACAAAACACAACTTAAGTGATGTACCTTGCTCAAGGTTGTAAGGTTTGTAGATGTTAAGTATCCTAAAGGTTTAGCTAGTGTTGGCCATTATGTTACAATCTACCAAAAGTAGTATTGTTTCACTTTGGAAATTTTTGTGGGGACAGGGGTGAGGGAAGTGAATGAAGTCAATGTCGCACAAACATTGCTTGAAAATATTTCACTTGAAAGATTCTGCTCCTTTTCATATCCTCAGCATTTCCTGTGGCTTTTGTGACTGAAAAATATTACTAATATGGATATATTGCACTTTTAATATGTTCTGGAAATATTACATATTCTTCAGTACAATAATGAACTTATTTTACATTACTTAAAATAGAGTGGACTGCATATACTTTTGTCCTAACCCTGATTCCCTCCCTCTTGTTTTTTTTTCTTTTTGTCTTTTGCCAGTGGTGAGGCTTGAACTTGGCCTGGGCACTGTTCCTAAGTTCCTGAACTCAAGGCAAGTGCTCTACCACTTGAGCCACAGCACCACCTCCACTTTTCTGGTGGTTAATTGGAGATAACATTTGTAGGCAGAAATTCCATAATATGATTTTTTTTTTTTTTTGCTCTAGGGATGTCCAAAAGGAAAACAAAAAGAAAAAGTCCTCATGAAATATATGAAAATTTCATTCCCATAAATTGAGATATTCAGCCTATAACAAATTTATTTTATTTTTTTATTTTTTTGGGGGGGGGTCTGATTGTGGGGCCTGAACTCGGCCTGGGCGCTGGCCCTCAGCTCTTCAGCTCAAGGCTAGCGCTCTACCACTTGAGCCACAGCGCCACTTCCGGCTTTTTTCACTTTGCTTATGTGGTGCTGAGGAATCGAACCCAGGGCCTCAGGCATGCAAGGCAAGTGCTCTACCACTGAGCCACCTTCCCAGCCCCCTATTTTATGTTTTTTAAAGTAAAAAACAAACTATTGTAATGCAGAAAAAGTTAAAACTAGAATTCATACATTGCCCTTTAATGGTTCACTTGGTCTTGAGAAGGCTGGCCTGGCCAAAGTGCAACCATATTGGATATTAAGGCCATTTTGTAAAAAAGGCTTTTACTGACACGAGTTCAGGTTCCTAGAAAAATGGCAGGACCAAAACCGCTCTACTGGTAACTCCCTAGCAACAGTCAATCAGTAACTAGCAGGAAAGTAAAACTCCAGATTTTTAAGATAGCATAGTTAACATATTTTGCTGCTCAACTGCTTAGCCTGAGCACTTTAGCCAATAAGATTGTTACAAGACTTACTTACTAAATGTTAACCAATCATGTAACCACTAAGTTGGAAACCTCCTACCCTTGCTAAAACCACAATAAAAACCCTGCTGAATTGGAAGTCAGGGCTCTCAACTCTGACCCGCTGTGTTGGTGAAGGTTATGAGTCCAGGCTGGAGCTTGCAATAAATGACTCTCGTGTGCTTGCATCAGAATCGGTTCATTGGTGGTCTTTGGGGATCCTTATCTGGGCATAGCAGCAGTCTTTACTTGCAAAAGCAAACTCACTGAATTCTAGACAATTGACTTTTGTGGTGATTTGCATTATTCATCCACTGGTTGAAAAGTTCACTTCATTGTACTTCAGAAATTTGTCTCCTACATAGTTTTATTAAAAACAAAGCTGTAGATGACCTAGAATTTCCTATATAATTTACCAACCAATATATACTGGCAAAAATATGCAGTCATTTCATTCATTTAAAGTTTTGAGAAGCTACATTTTAGGCTGGACTCAGCATTGCATTTCTGTTAGTATTGATTGTTGAACAGATGAGGCTTTACTCATGTCATTTTCTTACTGAGGATAGTTGGTTTAGGATGATATCATTCCTATTAAAAGTAATTTATGTTCTTGATTAGGCCGTGTATATCCAGCAGAATAGCCAAGATTCTTAACAATATATTGTGTTAAGGGAGGCAGTCACTAAGGAATTTTCAAAACTTTGTTCACACAATATTCATTGACATCTTTTTGGCCAAAGCAAGTTAAATGACAAAGTCCAGATCAATGCTTGAGGCTACTTTGTTAGAGAAAGATGAGCTATCTGGGATCCATTATTGAAACAGGAAGCCACAAGAAATATATATTCTATTCACTTTCCCCTGTAATTCTGAGTTTAAAACACTGAGTTGTAACCAACATTTTGCATGATGTTTAAATATTCCAAAACATGAGATATAGTAAAATACTCAATGGAGTCCTATGTGATATCTTTACATTAACCAGAAAATAGTTCATAGATTCCTAAGTGCAATTCTGTAATTTCTAATTTTAGTAAAGAGATTATATGTCTCTCTTTGACTTAGATTATTCAACAATTTTTTAGGGAAAAGGTCTTCTGTACAGGAAGGTGGTTTTTTTTTTCTTTTCTTTTCCAATCCATGTGAATGTATTGCCTTGAGCAGGAAAATTTAAGACAAATTTGAAAGATTAAAAATTAGAGTTACATTTTACAATTGCAAATTGCTGATTTTTCTTTTGTAAACTTCCTGGCGCTAGCACTAACCCCCACCCCCACCCCAATTTCTGGAAACAAGGAATTGAGTAAAAAGTTTTGGAGCCCAGATGCGTGCCCTGGGACTAGATCTGTGGTCATAGATAAAGAACAAACAAGTAAATTCCCCAAGTGGCCTAATGGGACACAAGAATGGGACCCAAGATAAGGACCCAAGATAAGGACCACCTGGCAAGTCCAGCAAACTAAGCCAAATGTTAATCACAAGCCTGTAACTATGTAAACTCCCCTCCCGGGTGACGCTCCCCCTAGACTTGCCCCAAGCCAACTGTTTTACAAAGAGTGTTATAAACTTCCCCTCAGAGTGTATAGTGATTTTTAAATGGGCCAATCCTGGGACACCTGGTGTTATATGCTAATCTTGTGGTTTTTGCCTTTAAGAATGCCTGTAACCACTGCTCAGGGATCTCTCCCTTGCAGGGGCAGAGAGACCATTTGCACAAACGCTGAATAAACTCTTGCTTGTTGCATCTACTGGTTTGGAGTCTTGGTTTCTGGAGCACCCTCCCATAGACGAAAGTATCCCAGGAGTCTGGGATCTTTCAAAATTCATATTGGTTGTTTCCTGATTCCATTTCATTTGCTTTCTCTTCCAGCTTTGCTTTCACAATCATCTCTGCATTGCCAACAGCAACAAAAAATGAGTGGATCCCTGGTGAGTTTTTTGCTTATGTCTTTATTTGCTTTTTAGGAACTTTTTATTAACAATGTGCTCCAAAATTAAAATGGAAGAGTAGAAAATATTTAGCCTCAGGAAAACATTCATAAATAAGATAAAGATGGCTTTTAGATTTAGTAGATTATATGTTCTTAAGAGTCAAACTGAGGGAGGGGGCTGGGAAGTAGCTCAGTGGTAGAGCGCTTGCCATGCACGCAGGAGGCCTTGGGTTCCTCAGCACCACATAAGCAGAAAAATAAAAAGCCAGAAGTGACACTGTGGCTCAAGTTGGTAGAGTGCTAGCCTTGAGCTGAAGAGCTGAGGGACAGCACCCAGGCCCAGAGTTCAGACCCCCCTCAAAAAAAAGAGTCAAACTGAGTTGAATACAAGTTTACCTCAAATTTGTCTCTGTTTTTACTGATGTGAGAAAAAGTAGCAAGCGCTACATGATCCACTGACACTTAGGAGGTAGTATGCTAACTTCTTATGGAATGTAGATTTGCTGGCCCTTGGTCAGAAATCTTACCCTTATTAGACACAAATTAAACTATCTTCATGATGCTAAACTGGGTAGTGATTATTTTTGGAGTAACTGAATTAGTATGATTCCAAGTATCTTTGAATGTTAAAGGCCTGAGTAAGCCATCTACATGAAGAATTAGAAAAATTAGGGCTGCGTCCATTTTACAATTTAATAACTGCTATTTCTGCTTCTGTAAACTTGCTTGTGCTAGCACAGACCCTCCCGGGAAATAAGTAAAAAAGTTTCAGAGTCCAGATACAGGCCCTGGGACAAGGTCTGCAGACATAGATAAAGAACAAAAGAGTATGTTCTTCTAAATTCCTGTTTAGAATCTCTCAGCAAGGGACTCAAGATAAAGACCATCTGGCAAGCCCAGCAAACTAGGTCAAATGTCAACCAATCACGAGCCTGTAACTATGTAGACTCCCCTCCAGGGAAGCCTCCCCCTAGAGATCCAACCAGTTTATGATGAGTGTTACAAGACTTCCCGTGCAACAAAATGATTGCTGGAGTATATGATGATTTTTAAATTGAGCCAATCCCGGGGCACCCGGTGTCTTATGCTAATCCTATGGTTTTTGCCTTTAAAAGTGCCTGTAAAGGCTGCTCAGGGCTCCCTGTCTGCCCAGGACACAGTCCGTTTGCGCAAACGCCAAATAAACTCCTCTTGCTTGTTGCATCTGCTGGTTTGGAGTCTTGGTTCCTGGGGTGCCCTCCTGTTGAAGAAAGTATCCCAGTGAGTCTGGGGTCTTTCATATATACTTAAATGACTGTCCACATATAACCCTTGGCTGTTGGGTCTTTTCTATAGGGAGTGGAACAGGCTGCATGGAGTTGTATTTTTTTTTCCAAAGCTCATCAATTGCTTAAATTACTGTCAAACCCCATGACTGCATTTATTGTTTTTCTTACTTGACTGTTGTGCTATATTTAAAGACTTTGTCTGTGGCCTTTCTAGAAATATGTTTTTATTCTCTTTTAAATTGACCTCCTACGCTATTTTCCTCCATTACTCTCTTTCTTTCCTTTTATTATTTTTTCTTTTTTGGGGGGGGTCCAGTAGTGGGGCCTGGGCGCTATCCCTCAGCTCTTCAGCTCAAGGTTAGCGCTTTACCACTTGAGCCACAGCACTACTTCTGGCTTTTTTTTTCTTTTTGCTTATGTGGTGCTAAGGAATCGAACCCAGGGCCTCATGCATGCAAGGCAAGCGCTCTACCACTGAGCCACCTTCCCAGCCCCTTATTATTATTTTTTAATTAAACAAAAGTTTACACTTACATAAATCAGGCAAAGAGATATCCTTTTGGATAATGTCACTCCCTCCCTCACTTTTCCCCAGTTTTTTTCCTCCCTTCATACCCACAAGTTCTATAGTTCTTTTTCAACATGGTTTCCAGTGAGTACCATTGCTTTCCTTTTATTTGAAAATAGAGACATTGGTGATAAGGGTCCTTGATCAAAGGAACGAAACTAATACAAAGTGAAGTCAAGCAAAGCTTTATTCCCTGCCAAGTATCAAGAATCAAACTAACTGGTCAGGGCCGTGTCTGTGGAGAGTGACCCCCACCTAGTCTCACAGGCTAGCTTTTATAGGGCAAAACAGCAAACTACAAACTAATTGTAAACATGTAGCTAATTTTACTCTTATTGGTTAAAACAGAAGGGTTACATATGTGCTTTTTACTGATTGGACACCTCCGCCTGGCCTGCCCTTCCCTCCTCCCCCTCCCAAGGCTTCATTTCTGCTAACTGGCCGTTTTTGGAAATTGTTTTTCTTTTTTTCTTTTGGTTCTGTAAGGTATATTAACTAAGTAGGTTTCATTAGGTAGCCGATCAAGAGAACACCATGAGCTATTGAGGCAGGAAAAGAAGTTTATTTACCGAACTGCTGCCTCCCCCCTCCCCCACCATGCATGGTGGAGAAGCACAGCTGAAAAGGAAAAGGGGGGTAGGGGAGGAAGAGCTGTGACCCCCCTGTGAGCCAGGACTTATCTAGGCCTGGGGCAGGTAGAGGTGTGGTCACACTGGATCTGGATGTAACCTCAGGGTCTGGGACCCTCCTAGGGTCAGATGGAAGGCATGTGACCAGAGGTGGCCCAGGATATGACCTAGTAGGAGGGGAAGGTGACTGCTTCCGGGTCTGCCAGTTACCTGGGTAACATATACTGGGCGGAAACTTAGCCAAAAAGGAGAGAGGTGTCCCTGTGCAGACCTTACAGTTCCCTTACAGACAGAGTCGGTTTGCCCTTACTGCACAAAGAACAGGTGCGGGCAAGGTCAGCTCATACTTTACAAACCAGATGGCTGCCTTTACAAAATGGAGTTACTTTGGTTAAGCTGGACCTAACAATTGGGTTTTTGCTTATTTCATCTTTGTGTTTATTTTTGTATTCTTTTTTTTTGGGGGGGGGGTCCGGTCGTGGGGCCTGAACCCTGGGCCTGGGCGCTGTCCCTCAGCTCTTCAGCTCAAGGCTAGCGCTCTACCGCTTGATCCACAGTGTCACTTCCGGCTTTTTTCTTTTTGTTTATGTGGTACTGAGGAATCGAACCCAGGGCCTCAGGCATGCAAGGCAAGCGCTCTACCACTGAGCCATCTTCCCAGCCCTATTTTTGTATTCTTAAAGGTATGCTTTTATGAGTGATATATTATTGAATTGTTTCCCTTTTTTCTCATGTCAGGCAATGGCATATATCTTTACTCCATTTACATTACATACTAATATGGTTTCATTTATGTCTACCATTTTGCTACTTACTTTCTCCTTGCTTTATCTGATATTTGTTACTTTCTATCTTTTTAGGGGTGTGATCATATCTTTCTAGCATAGTCATCTCTGGGTATCCACAAATAGCAAAATAGATGTTCATGTTTCTTATGTAAAACTGTGTTGTGATTTCATATAAGCAGCACACATCCATCTATATACTTTAAATCACCTCTGACAACTAGTACAAATTAAATGCAATGTAAGTCGTTGTTATTTGGTATTTTCCAGCGTATTATCACAAAATTTTAGGACTGTACATATTCAGTACAGTAGCTATATGTTTTCAAAGTTCTGGATCCATAGTTGGTTGAATTTGTGGGACTCACAAATATGCAAGGCCCACTGTATTTTAAGGTTATCATGGATGAGCACTAATGGAGTGTGGTACTACATTTTTCCTCATGAATGAAAAATGAGTGATTTTACATTTACTGGAAGTTCATCCTCAGCCTGAAGCATGATGTTTTAGAAGAAGCCAAACCTACAGGCAATTGTTCTATTGTTCTTGAGTTCTCATCTCTAGAACTACAAGAAAAAATATTTCTCTCTCAATTCTGTTTTTTTTTGGGGGGGGGAGGGGATCCGGTTGTGGGGCCTGAACTCTGGGCCTGGGCGCTGTCCCTCAGCTCTTCAGCTCAAGGCTAGCGCTCTACCACTTGAGCCACCGCACCACTCCCAGGTTTTTTTCTTTTTTGCTTATGTGGTGCTGAGGAATTGAACCCAGGGCCTCAGGCATGCAAGGCAAGTGCTCTACCACTGAGCCACCTTCCTAACCCCCTCAATTCTGTTTTGATATGGCAGCCATAGGAAACTAATATACTGTAATGCATTGCATTATTATTAGTTACTCTGAGTTTTGAATATGCTTAGAGTACTGTTTTACTGCATCAAAATCTATAGGTGCTTTACAAGGGAATAGCTCTATATATAAGCTTTATGCTTAATACCTTTAAAAAATTGGCTATATTGTGGCTTTGAACTTAGGGCATGACATGTACAAAGCAAGTGCAGTAGCAGCTGGATATTGGTTCTTTATCCCTAGTGCATGTACTTTTGTATTCAATACATGTATGGATGCACATATTGAATTGTCATTTATATGAATCATCTATATACTATTGTATTTTTGCATTAAGCCATCATTTAAAAAATTACATAAAATAAATATGTTTGTATCCATATCTGTGTGTGTGTGTGTGTGTGTGTGTGTGTGTGTAGAGGAGTAGTCCTTTATGCTTACCTACAATTTCACTATTTCTGTGATCCTGATTCTATGAGTGCGTCTAAGTTAGCACATATTGTGATGTAGCGCCTTTTCATGTAGCACTCTGGTAATGCAGGTGTGTTGCTGATAAATTAGCTTAATCAGAAAATATATTCAATACATATTTTTAGAATAGTTCCTCTGGAACTGTTGGGATAAGGGAAGTTATTTTCTTTTAATACTTTATACACATATTTCCTTTTGGTGTATTGGGGGGTCATCATTCATTTCTGGTATTGTTAAGCATAGTGACAGTAGAAAAATGGTTAGTCATTCTTTTTTTGTAGTGAGACTCAGCATGGGAGTTTATCTTTCCTTGTGCCTTCTGCATAAGACATTAGTACCAAATACTGTTGTACCCTCTTTTATTTTCTTCCAGATTTTGGATCATTTCCCTGATTTTTTTTTTCTTTTCTTTTCTTTTTTTCTTTGTTTTTGTTGGTTGTGGGGCTTGAACTCTGGGCCTGGGTGCTGTCCCTCAGCTCTTCAGCTTAAGGCTAGCACTCTATCACTGGAGCCACAACGCCACTTCCAGTTTTCTGGTGGTTTATTGGAGATAAGAGTTTCACAGACTTTCCTGCCTGGGCTGGCCTTGAACCGCAATCCTCAAAATCTCAGCCTCCTGAATAGCTAGGAGGCACCGGCTTTTTTGTTTTTTTTTTCCTAATCTTAAACTCAGGGTGTGGAAACTATCCCTGAGCTTGTTTTGCTTAAGGCTAGTTCACTCTACCACTTGAGCCATAGTGCCACTTCTGGCCTTTTCTGTGTATGTGCTACTAAGGAGTCAAACCCAGGGCTTCATGTATGTTAGGCCAGCACTCTACCACTGACCACCTTCCCAGCCCTTCCCTGATCTTTATTCTTATTTTTCTTTGCCTTGCTGGCGGTTGCTAGGTCTGACAGTGCTTTCTGATATTCTCTCTCTTAGTTCTTTTTCCATGTCCTTCCATCCTTCCATGAGGTACCAGTAAGTGCAAATATGGTCAAGACACATTTTATTTCATTATGATTAATGTTTTGTAATGCAGAAGGAGGAGGATGTCATAATAGTTAATGCTACCAGTTCTATGGTTTTTAGGAATGACGTATAAGAAGGCTTCAGAACATCTTTAGGGTTATACTAATAATGAGACCTTTATTGTGAGAACTAAGTAAAATATTCTGTGTTCCAGATTATTACTAATCAGTTTCTTGAGTACTGTTACTTTCTTTAACACTTACCTAGGAACTGTGTTTTTATAGATCTGCTAATGTGGTTGGTACCCCTTGTGATTTCTTTCTTTCTTTATTTTTTTTGGTCCAGTCGTGGGCCTGAACTCTGGGCCTGGGCGCTGTCCCTCAGCTCTTAGGCTCAAGGCTAGTGCTCTACGTCTTGAGCCACAGCGCCACTTCCGGATTTTTTCCCCTGCTTACGTTGTGCTGAGGAATCGAACCCAGGGCCTCATGCATGCAAGGCAAGCACTCTACCACTGAGCCACCTTCCCAGCCCTCTTTTTTTTTTAATGTTCATTTTTTTTTATTGTGAAAATACAGAGAGGTTACAATTACATGGGCAAGATAATGCGTACGTTTCTTATCAAGCATTGTAGCCTCCTCCTTTGTTTCCCCTTCCCATCCCTTCCCATCTTCCCCCTACCCCTCCACCCAATCCTCCCCGCTTCCCCCCCCCCACCAAAGCTGTAAAGTTCATTTTCGACATAACGACTTGTACATCTCATTGTTGCAATGGGTCCACCTGTATCCCTATTTAAACAATTTGTTTTTCCCCTTCCCCTCCACAAATTATACCCACATCAGATACAGTGAAAGCAGGGGTTATACTGTGGGGGAGGGACATACAAAGCAACAAAGAAATAACCCCTTGTGATTTCTTGACTGAGCTCTGGACGATCTAGATTCTAGGCATCTAGTTACAATTGATGCCAGTAGTGAAGGTCATTAGCTCTTTAAAAGAGGAATTTTATCTTGTTTCTATTGCTAGCACCAGAAGCACTTCCTGATTAATAAGGTAAAACTTATTTTAATAATTAATAAGTTTGTATAGAGGCAGCTATTCATACTTTGACTTTTCTTTCCTGTATGGCATAGATAACAGAGCAAGGTCCAGCCATTTTTTTTCCAGTCCTGAGGCTTGAACTCAGGGCCTGGGCATTGTCCCTGAGCTGCTTTTGTTCAAGGCTAGCACACTATTACTTGAGCCCCAGTGCCATTTCCAGCTTTTTCTGTTTATGTGGTACTTAGGAATTAAACCCAAGGCTTCATTCATGCTAGGCCAGCCCTCTACCAATAAGCAACATTCCTGGCTCTCCAACCATTTTATGTAAGACAGAAACATACATGTAGAGAAATAGAGTCCTCAGAGTTGGTTATCTCCTGACTCATGGCTAATGACTTCTTAAATATGCCATTACAGGGGTTGGTATCATTTGAGGATGTGTCTGTGGACTTCAGCTGGGAGGAGTGGAAGGACCTGGATGATGGTCAGAGGACCCTGTATAAGGATGTAATGCTGGAGATCTATAGCAACCTGGTGTCCTTGGGTGAGCAAAGGTCACATTAATTCTCATGAGCAAGTGCTTTGTTCTTGATAGATATATGAATATGGATCAGATTTAATGCTATTTAGATGTAATATTCTGTTTTGTTTTTTTTTGGGGGGGGGGGGGGAGTCCGGTCATGGGGCCTGAAATCTGGGCTTGGGCACTGTCCCTCAGCTCTTCAGCTCAAGACTAGTGCTCTACCACTTGAGCCACAGCGCCACTTCCGGCTTTTTTCTTTTTGCTTATGTGGTGCTGAGGAATCGAACCCAGGGCCTTGAGCATGCAAGGCAAGCGCTCTACCACTGAGCCACCTTCCCAGCCCAATATTCTGTTTTTTGAGGACCATCATGTCCCCATAAGAGAAAGTTCATTCTTCAAAGTAGTTTGGTGAAAGTTCTATACTATTACCCAATAACAGGGCACTAGTTTTCCAAATCTGACTTACTTCTGAAGCCAGAGCAAACAGCAGAGCCATTGATGGAAGAAGGATACTCTAATCAGGGCTTCCCAGGTGATTCAGTGCAGTTTAGACAGGGAGGTTGTGAAGATCAGAGCCAGTGTGGCTGTGTTGAGCTGTTCTCCACAGTTCCCACAGTTTCTTCACCTGAAGACAGATCCTGTCATGCATTGGACATCTGCCCTCTGCAGTCTTCATTGGTATCTCTTTTATAAATGTACCTCCTCATTTTTGTTTCTTTAAGTATTACTGAGACTCTAGTCATGTTCTGGCTCTTAGACTTTCTTCTTGGTTAGTTTTTCTATATTTTCAGTTACTGTTTCTCTATCCAATTATAAAATCTTTCCCCCTAAACATTTACTAATACTTCATAAATTCCTTCAAGGTTGGTTAGTAGAATAATTTGCATGTGCTTTTATTTTTGTGACGTGTAGATAACAAGAAAAATCAAATATATTTCCTTTTAATGAACTTAATACTATTTTCAGAACAGACACAAACAAAACAAATATGTTTAGTTGTGAGATGAGATCCACAAAGAAGTTTTTGTTTTTCTTTTGTCCGTCATGGCGCTTGAACTCTGGGCCTGAGCTCTCCAGCTCAAAGCAAGCGCTCTACCACTTGAGTCACAGCACCACTTCCAGTTTTCTGAGTGGTTTATTGGAGATAAGAGTCTCATGGAGTTTTGATGGGGCTGACTTTGAACCGCGATCCTCAGATGTCATCCTCCTAAGAAGCTAGGATTACAGGCGTGAGCCACTGGCGCCCAGCTTCCACAAAGAAGTTTTACCTGGATGAGACTGAGGAAAATATTGAATAAGAGATATTATTATTTATTTTTATGTTTTTTTTTTTTTTGTCAGTTGTGGGCCTGAACTCTGGGCCTGGACACTGTCCCTCAGCTCTTCAGCTCAAGGTTAGTCCTCTACCACTTGAGCCACAGCGCCACTTCCGGCTTTTTCTGCTTATGTGGTGCTGAAGAATCGAACCCAGGGCCTCATGCTTACAAGGCAAGCACTCTACCACTGAGCCACCTTCCCAGCCCAAGAGATATTATTTACTTAAGAAAACTTTATTTTATTTTAATATTTATTTATTTTTGTTGTTTTTTATTTTTTGGGTCCGGTTGTGGGGCCTGAACTCTGGGCCTGGGGGCTGTCCTTCAGCTCTTCAGCTCAAGGCTAACACTCTACCACTTGAGCCACAGTGCCACTTCTGGCTTTTTTCTTTTTGCTTATGTGATGCTGAGGAATCGAACCCAGGGCCTCAGGCATGCAAAGCAAGCGCTCTACCACTGAGCCACCTTCCCAGCCCCTATTTTAATATTTAAAATTTTATTGTAAACACGATGTACAGAGTAGTTACAGTTACATTTGTCAGGAAATGAGGACATTGCTGTTGGAAAGTGTTATGCAATACCTCATTTTCTCTCCCTGTTTCCCCCAGGATAACTTAATTTTTATGTGATGCTTTTCTAAATTTGCCATATGATATACAGGTTGATATACAATCTAATATGAAGTGTACATCACTATTATAGACACGAATTTGGAATTCAGTCATTTAAAACTGGTATTTAAAATCAAAAGCACATATTTGAGGTCTTCTTTAGAATTGATGAGAAATAAGAAAATAGGTTCAAAAGTAGCCTTCTACCAGGTTGTGTGAGATCATTACACCAGACCAAAGTTCTATATTCCCCATTGACAGGACACTGTGTTCCTAAACCTGAAGTGATTGTTAAGCTGGAGCAAGGAGCAGAACCATGGCTGGGAGAAGCCCTAGATAAGAATATCACAGGTGAGTCAGCATTTGCTGGACATGGATGTTAAAAAGAGAGAGCTCAGAAGATGTGACTATATTGAGATGTTCTCGTTCCTATCCCATCTCCTGGATTCCTGTGTTCCTGATTCTTTCCAGCAGGTACTAGGGTAATGGATGAAGACATACTATAACTTTGTAATAACATCATAAGAGGAGGAATGAATGTAACTAACCTACATGACTTAATAGACAATGTCTCTCCTTTTTTTGCCTCTATATCATCAGATTTTACCAAGGCTAGCTTATGGGAATTACAGGAACAGATCAAATAGGCATATTCTAAGCAATAAGAAATAAGATATCGGGGGGTTGGGAAGGTGGCTCGGTAGAGTGCTTGCCTTGCTTGCATGATACCCTGGGTTCGATTCCTTAGCACCACATAAGCAGAAAAAGCTGGAAGTGGTGCTGTGGCTCAAGTGGTACGGTACTAGCCTTGAGCTGAAGAGCTGAGGGACAGTGCCCAGGCCCAGAGTTCAGGTCCCACGACCAGCCAAAAAAAAAAAAAAAAAGAAATAAGATTTCAGAAGGCAGTAATGTGAGTACACAAAGGCACTTTTCCTGTCTTTGACAGGAAGATTAGAAAAAGATCTTGTATAAATCAGGTGCCTGTAATCCTAGCAACTCAAAAGGCTGAGATCTGAGGACTGTGGTTCAGAGCAAGCCAGGGCAGGAAATTTTGTGAGATTCTTATTTCCAGTTAACCACCAGGAAACCAGAAGTGGCACGGTGGCTCATGTGGTAGAGTGCTAGCTTTGAGCTGAAGAGCTCAGGCCCAGGCCCAGAGTTCAAGCCCCAATACCAGCACCACAACCCCCCCCCCCAAAAAAAAAAATCCTGTCTTAAACACAGGATAAAGAACCATAAAACAATAAGTTTTCTGCTAAGATCAGTCACTCTGCAAATATTCACAGTTCCCATCGGGATCAGGGTCCCCATACTGTGTGTGGCAGAAAAGAAGTTCTTTGGACTCAAGTCCAAGTGAACCAACACTAATGGGGAGCATCCTAAAATCTGTGTGAGAGTATTTAAGGTTAGCATTTCTCTTTTATCTTTGGAACCCATTCTGAAACAAAAAAAGAAAATAGAAAACTTAAAGGAATTCCATTTTCTGTTAACCCTGAAGATAGATGGTATCAGGAACTAAGGAGGACAGGATATTTGCAGCCTCAGATAAGTCAGAAAAGAAACTTCTCAACGGTGGAGCAGAAACCTAGGATTCAGAACCAAAGCTTTTAAAAAATGTAACCAAGTTTGGGGGTCTAGTGTGTTTGGGCAATGCTATGAAAATAGGAATGTGGAAGATATTTTTTAGAACATACAAAAAAAAAGAGACTTGAAAATCCCCATAGGTACCAGGTAGAATTTTCTGGGAGGAGAGTTTCTCAAAGATAGGCATGAATCCTCCCTTCAGGAACCACTCCTGATTAGGTGACAGGTAATTTACCCTTTTATATATCCTTAGGTTCTCTGAACCTGGAACACATGTTGTCTTCAAATCTAAAGGTTTCAGAAGGAAAGTAGCACATAATTTTTGCAAAATATATAAAAACTTCCCTAAAACAAAACAAAATTGAGCCGGGTGCTGGTGGCTCGTGCCTGTAATCCTAGCTACTCAGAATGCTGAAGACTGAAGATCTCAGTTCAAAGCCAGCCCAGTCAGGAAAGTCCATGAGACTCTTATCTCCAGTTAACCACCAGAAAACTGGAAATGATACTGTGGCTCAAGTGGTAGAGCTGAAGACCTCAGGGACAGTGCCCAGACCTAGAGTTCAAGCCCTGCAACAGACCAAAAATAAAAAAAAAATGGAAAGAAAAGAAAGGAAGAGAAATAATTGGCAGATTATTTGTCTTCAGTTTAAAAGCAATAGCAGTTATTGAGTATTTTGACCAAATATTTCCTCTGATATTTAAACACACAATAAAACTTCAAGAACCAGAGAAGAATATGATTATATTAGTATTTGTTAAGTAACTCCTTAGGGAGGAATGCATTCAATTCTCATAATTCCATTCCTAGTAGTATTATCTTTAGTAAGTAGAATGGGCGGAAATGTGTTTACCTTTACTTGAGTATTCTCTAAGTAATTCTTGGATGCCATCATGATTTTAATCTACTTATTTGTTAAACATTTTAGATGTCCAGCAAGTAGATGGCTTCGGTGAAATGTGCCAGGAAAGTCCAGACAGACATCTGTTACAAGTCATAATCAAAAGTAGCAACATAGTGGAGGAAAGAGTTCGTTTTTTAGGTGTAAAAAATGAAACAAATCTTCTTACTACAAACCAGATCTCAGTGTACAGCGAGAAACTCTCTCAGGAGAGATACCCTATGAATATAATGAATGTAATTACCAGAAATCAGATCTCAGCAAGCCTCAGAGAACTCAAGCAGGAAACAAATCACATAAGTGTAACACATGTGGAAAGTCTTTCAAGCAAAACCCATCCCTCAATGTTTATCAGAAAAGACACAGAGGAGAGAAATCTTATGAATATAACCCATGTGCAAAGTCTTTCAAAAGGAAATCATAGCTCGAGGTGCATCAGAGAACATACAGGGGAGAAACCACATAAATGTAACGTGTGTGGAAGGTCTTTCAGCCAGATGTCTTATCTCTGCAAACATCAGAGCACACATACAGGAGAGAAACAATCTGAACGTAATGCATGTGGAAATTCTTTTGTCATCAAATCAAACCTAAAAAGGAATCAGAACACACACACAGAGGAGAAACCATATGAATGTGAGTCATGTGAAAAGTCTTTCAGCAAGATGTCTTATCTCCTCAAGCATCAGCTTACACATACAAGAGGGAAACCATATGAATGTAACACATGTGGAAAGTCTTTCACCCAGATGTGGTATCTCCGCAGACATCAGAAAACACACACAGGAGAGAAACCTTATGAATGTAACACGTGTGGGAAGTCTTTCATAATGATTTCACATCTCCGCATGCATCAGAGCACACACACAGGGGAGAAACCATATGAATGTAACACATGTGGAAAGTCTTTTGTCATCAAGTCCAACCTCACTAGGCATCAGAGAACACACACAGGGGAGAAACCATATGAATGTAAATCATGTGGAAAATCTTTTAGACGGATGTCACATCTCTGTAGGCATCAGAATAAACACACAGCAGAGAAATCTTATAACTGCAACACATGTGGAAAGTCTTTCTTATACAAGTCAAACCTCACTGACCATCAGAAAATACACACAGGAGAGAAACCATATGAATGTGACACATGTGGAAAGTCTTTTCTCATAAAGTCACACCTCAATACACATCAGAAAACACACACAGGAGAAAAACCATATGAATGTAACATCTGTGGAAAGTCTTTCACCACAAAGGCAATCCTTAATTATCACCAGCCAATTCATACAGGAGAGAAGCCTTATGAGTGTAACAAATGTGGAAAGTATTTTGTCTACAAGTCATCCCTCAGTATACACCAGACAACACACACAGGAGAGACACCATATAAATGTAACAGATGTGGAAAGTCTTTTCTCACGAAGTCATACTTCAGTAAGCATCAGAAAACACATACAGGAGAGAAACCATATAAATGTAACACATGTGGAAAGTCTTTTCTCATAAAGTCACACCTCAATACACATCAGAAAACACACACAGGAGAAAAACCATATGAATGTAACATCTGTGGAAAGTCTTTCACCACGAAGGCAATCCTCAATTATCACCAGCCAATGCATACAGGAGAGAAGCCTTATGAGTGTAACAAATGTGGAAAGTATTTTGTCTACAAGTCATCCCTCAGTATACACCAGAAAACACACATAGGAGAGAAACCATATAAATGTAACAGACGTGGAAAGTCTTTTCTTATGAAGTCATACTGCAGTATGCATCAGAAAACCCATACAGGAGAGAAACCATATAAATGTAACAGATGTGGAAAGTCTTTCAGCCAGAGGTCTTGTCTCTGCATTCATCAGAGCACACATAAAGAAACCATATGAATGTAACACATGTGGAAAGTCTTACTGAAAGATTAAAAATTAGAGTTACATTTTACAATTGCTAACTGCTGATTTTACTTCTGTAAACTTGCTTGCGCTAGCACTGACCCTTCCCCTCCCTAAAAATAAGTAAAAAGTTTCAGAGTCCAGATGCTGGCCCCGGGACAAGGTCTGTGGTTAAAGATAAAGAACAAAAGAGTATGTTTTTCTAAGCTCTTGTTTGAAAATTCCCCAAATGGGACCCAAGATAAGGACCATCTGGCGAGTCCAGCAAACTAGGTCAAACGTCAACCAATCACAAGCCTGTAACTATGTGAACTCCCCTCCAGGGTGACCGCTCCCCCTAGATTTGCCCTGAGCCAACCATTTTACGAAGAGTGTTACGAAGTATCCCGCATAGCAAAATGATTGCTGGAGTACACAGTGACTTGTAGATGGACCAATCCCGGGGCACCTGGTGTCTTATGCTAATCCTGTGGTTTTTGCCTTTAATAATGCCTGTAACCGCTGCTCGGTACTCTCTCCCATGCCAAGGCAGAGAGACCATTTGCGCAAATGCGGAATAAATTCCTCTTGCTTGTTGCATCTGCTGGTTTGGAATCTTGGTTTCTGGGGCGCCTTCCCGCAGACGAAAGTATCCCAGGAGTCTGGGGTCTTTCATTACCAAGTCACACCTCAGTACCCATAAGAGAACACACTCAGGAGAAAAGCCATATGAATAGCACAATTCATCCTTCAAGAGGCATAAGGGACACGCCATATTAATCGAACACATGTGGAAAGCCTTTCAGACATATCAAATCTCAAGCATCAGAGAACACAGAGAAAAGAAATATTAGAAATGTAACAAATGTGGAAAGTCCACTACAAGTCAAACCTCAGTGTTCATCTGAGAATATAGACTGGAGAGAAACCTTATGAATGTAACAATTGTGGAAGGTCTTTCAAGCAGAAGTTTAATCTGAG